TTAAAATGGGATAAAACGTTCAAGGAATGCCATTCATTTCTATGGCTCCTGTTGACACCTGAGCATTTAGTTATGCAGTTTGTCACACAAAGTTTCCCATTGAACGTCATGGGACCAAAAAGCACAGTACTATGCCAAAAGGTAGCTCATGTAATTTGTGCAGTGGCAGGCGTTTTTCTGTTTGCGACAAAATGCTCAAGTGTGAACAGGGACCACAGAAATTAATGGGCTTCCTTGTGGTGAGGGTTTTGATGCGCTTTCTTTTGAGTGACAAAACACCTAAGTGTGAACGGGAACTAATATTTACTGTGGCAACTAGCTGTGTCAACTAGGACAATACGGGTCATTGATCTTAACAATAAAGTATGGCTAAAACAAGGAAAGGAGAGCTGTCAGCATAGACAGTATACTACTAAGAACTAGTGCTTTGCTTTAAAGCCATAACTGTAGTGATATTTTATATTATGACAAAATGATTAATTCCGTTGCACACAATTACAATATAACCTAATACAGAACTCCTTTAGACCTTTTTGTAGGACTACAACTTTGGGATTTTGACTGCATTAGGCATTCAGACTCTAGCAAAAGTTCAGAGGGCAATAAATCTACACTGCTAAGACAGCTAAGCAAATGCTTTTTAATGCCCTGAGAGGAATCTGTGACTAAAGTAGCGTATACACAGGTAGATTTTTTGCACAAACGTTCGTACGCAAAATACTGTTGGAGCATTCTATTTTGGAACGAATGAAGTTTCCAAACAAAAATCATATCGACTGTTAGAAATTCGTTCGAGTGAGACAAATTTTCCAACATGGTCCTTCTAAAATTTTCGGTAACAATATCGTTTTCCCCTGTCGATTGCACCATGCTAGTTGATATTTGAACGAACGTTCCGAAAACGACGACTTTAGTACACAATTCAAACTGTGTATATCCTACTTAAGCATGTGGATCCTGAGGTCTCACTTCAGCCATTCTATACTGGAAACTTCACAGTTTAGTTTTCCTTAACAGCCCCCTCTTACCCCAGACCCCATGTCTCCTTTACTACCAGGCAGGGCTCCTTTACATATATATTGCTTCTGTGTATTAAACAGTTTGCCTAGAGTTCAGCGTTAAGCCAGCTATTCCTCCTTAGGTACACTGCCCACTGTAGGCCCTGCAAGTGCTCGTCTGTCATGAACTAAATGTCATTGCTGATCTAGTCTTCCTGTCTGACCATCACTTGCCCTGACATCTTTGTCCTGGTACTACACTTCATTTTTAACCTTCTATAGCTGGCCATGACTAAATTCCTGCTTTATACTTGGGACTCTGCTCTCATTTATCTGGCTTCCACCAGCAAGGCAAGCTTGGATTTCATGCTTGGAGCGCCCCCAGCTGCAATCGCCCCATCCATAGGAACAGCAGTTACCCCTTTTGAAGAGACCACTTTACCATACTTCTGGTGGTGTAGAGCATGCATAACCATCTCTGTCTGCACAGATCCTGTATCCAGTAAAGATCTTCTTAGTAGCAAAGCCATAATCAGGAAGACATATCAGAACTTGTACCTTCAATAACAAGTCAGAAATGGCAGCATCCAATATTTCTGTACCTACAGGCACCTTTTAATGCATGCCTTATAATTGTAGTATCTGAATTAACCTGTTCTCTCCTGATTTTCCATATTTGTTGTAAAAAAAATAACATTTCACTATATAAATTATTGTACATTATATATTAAATACAATCGCTTCAATATATTCAATATAAATGTACCATCTAAAGTATAGCTAAAGACAAAGCTTTTTTTAAGATTTGGATAGAGTGGTGAAAGGTTAGAAACATTGTCAGGTTTGTATTTCTGTCCCTGTTGCGGAGATTCATTCTCTAACCGTTATGATTACCAATCTCACCAGGAATGAAAGTAAGGGTAAATCCTAAATTGTAATTTGCCACCAGAACAGGAATAGAGGGGAAATCTTCCAATGGGAACACTTGTTTCTGTGACAACTGTCTAAAACCCTTTCAATTCTTTTGAGTCTACAGGACAGTAAGTTAAAGGAAATCTCCCTAATGAGATGGCAAAGAAAAAGCTGACAGTGATTTTAACGTTGCCCTACTCTGTCCAATCTGAAAAAATCTGAATAAACTTTAAAATATAGTGTAAAAGAGGAAAAATAAATTAGGAGGTACATCTATAAAGCACAGGTATGGCCGCATAGTGATGTGCTTTGCAATTGCTTCCCAGAATTCTTTTTTTGCTCATGTGATTGGTATTTTGCAAACAGTAAGACTGATACTAGTATTATAATATTCTGAACGACACCCCAACGCACCTCCCAGCATGCATGTGTTGCAGCGCGTGGTACTGCAGTAACGTGCTCTACATTGCCATGTGGTGAAAAACGTATTGAATGCACTACATTTTATTACCACACGGCAGCACAATACACATTGTAGTGAAAATGCATGTTGTGCATCACTGCAACGCACAAACCCAGCGGAACGTGCATTGCAGTGGCATTTAGAATAACTGGCAACTTGGTGCACCTAGCATGCGGTACCATGCACTGTGTGATAGCAGATCCTGCACATTTAGCAAGGCACTATGGTTTGACTGACCCGATTTCCACCTTTTGTATGTGATTACAATTTATTGTGGTAATGTAGGTATGCAGTGATGATCTATATGTGTGTACATTTTCATGACTTGCATTGCTGGCTTTTTATTTATTTTTTTAATGGACTTTTTAGTAGGCCTACAAAAAGTCCAACAAATTGCAAATTTACTCTACAGGACACTGGGGTCAAATTGTAAAGCAGCTGACCCCCTCCCTGTGAGTCACTGTAACAAGATTACTGCAAACCACCTGTGTCTTTCTAGGTCACAATACACTTTCCAGGGGGGTTGCCACTATAAACACTAATAAATTGGGGGAAAGAGCTCAGAGAAAGTTTTAATTTACACAGACCACTTGCAAAGAACAAAGGCAGCCATTTCAAAATGTAAAGCAGACCATACACTGCTCTTCTTTTTTCATTCAAACCACGTGTTGAATGAAAAAATATAGCAGATTCCTCCATCAACACTACAAGCGCATTTATTGAGGAATCTCCACTGTTTCTTTTGCATTTTGAGAACGGCTGCTGGCTGCTGTCAGAATACCCAAACAGAGCCAGCAACTCATTGGCTGCCGACTCTGTACAAAGATTTATTTCCCCGTTTTTGTCTTTTGGTTGACCTTGAGGGACATGTATCTTTTTCAACATAACTATGTAAGATAAGCACAAACGAACACAATTCTAGGACTTATGATGTTTTTGTTAAATATGACCTAAAATTTGATTTTGTTTTTCACAAAAGTCCTAAAATTAGATAAGAACCAAAAAAGGAATAAAAAATATTATACTTCTTCAATTATATATTCAGAAAAATTATCCAAAATTACCTGTGTGAGTCAATAGTATGTAAACCTCCTGCATTCTTTTTTTTTTTAAAGAGGAAATTAACTTTAGGTATTCCCAACAATGGGATGGCAGTCAGGGGTGAGTGTAGAATGCCCTGCCTTACATAAAGAACAGGAATCTGGTCTAATCTTAGGCAATTCTGTGACGAGAACACACACAGATTTGTGGAAGTTGGTAATGACTTCTAAGGATTTCTAAAAGAAAAAAAAAATTATGTTCTAGGTATTTATGAAGAAATTCAAAAGGCTTAACAAACTTAAAACATATTTGTACCTGGCTTAGAAAATACATTTTGCTCTAAAAACTGTAGGCTCTTACCACTTGCTTAGATCAACATTTTAACCCCTTCGTGACGGGAGACGTACACTGTACGTCCAGCCACAAAGGGACCAAATGACTTGTCACGTACACTGTACGTGACGAGTTATTTGCTGCTTTAGAGGGCTGTTAACGCTGAGAATCAGCTTTTAACATTCATTAATGGATGCCCTTACTACAGAGGCATTCATTAATGAAAGGGTTAACCTTTTTCAGACACCCGATACCTTAATATCGGGTGTCTGAGAGTCAAAGCAGAGGGACACAGATGCCGGCTTTTGCCGGCATTCTGACAGCTCGTATAGATCGAGAGAGATATCTCTCTCAAGCTATACTGGCTTTTTTTTTTTTTTCCTTTCATGAATAGATACATAATGTGTCTATTCCTACAATGTATCTATTCCTGAAAGAAGAATGTTTGTTTGCTGATCGTTGTTGCAACAATCAGAAAACCTTTAGTGACAGCTGAATCCTGAACTGCTGCAGGATCAGTGTCACTAACTTATTATCGGCTGTTCTGAAGTTTGAAGCAGCCTGATAATAACCAAAAATGTATTAATTTATCAAGCAGTAACAGTGAGATTAATTCACAATGACTGCTTGATATAATTAAATAAATAAAATTACATTTTTAAGTTTAAAAAAAAGTGAAAAGTGTAAAAAAAAAAAAAAAATGTGTAAAAAATAAAATAAAATAAGGGACAAATAAATGAATGTATTTATTTAATTTTTTTTAGCTGTGCTGGTTTTGTAAAAAAAATACTACAAATCAAAACTGGGAAAAAAGTTGTTTTTTTCCTCTTTTTTTATATTTTATTTGTCCTAAGTGAGGCGTTAGACACACATATGTGATATAAATATGTAGCCCTATCTGTCCTCTAAAAAACAATATATAATATGTGTGGGTGCACTTTGTAAGAAAGTATATTATTGACGTGGAAGAATCACACAGCAAAAATGTCAAAAGTGTGTCAGTCATTTACGAACAGAAACTAAAAACAAGCTCAGTCATGAAGGGGATAAATAAATCTCTATTTGCAACACTGACAAAATAATCAGAAGTAATTCTATCCAAATATGCATTTTTACGCATAGTATGTAAAGTTGAAAACACAACCAAGGATCAGTCTGCTAAACCAGTACTTATCAACATGGAGAGTACGAATAATTGTACCTGAATTTAAAAGGTCAAGACATCAGTTTTATTAAAATATTTTGTGCCTTGGGTAACATTTTTTTCTCAGTAGCAATTCATTAGAGACAGAGATGGGCAAATTATTAGTATAGCTGTACAGTACACTAAATCTGTTTGTTTTGTCCACTTGACACGTCCCAAAATATTAAGCTTCATCATTTCAAAACATAAATGACTTTGAAGGAATTTTCAAACAAACACACGGTATGTTTTATACTCAAAATATGACACCACATTAAAAATGCATCTGCATGATATACATTTGCTAAATAAAAATGTTAATTAGTAATTTGCCCATCCCTTACCCAACAACCATTCAATGTTATATTTCTTCTGTAAAGCAAAGTCCAAAAAAAAAGATTAAAAAAAAGGAAAAAGTTGCCATTGTCATGTGTCCATGATTTCTCTGGATGGAGACTGCTCAGGATTCATTCCTTGTGTATTGTGAATTGTCTGATTGTGTGAAATTGAATTTTGCAGTTCTAAAGCGATTGTGTTTTGTGGGAATTCTTTAACTTGTTTTCTGTATTCCAAAAAACTGCATCCCTTTGTGGCTATTGCAATGATATTTTTGCCAATAAATATTGTTGAAACTCTGCTATCCTGAAATAAAACCATGTTCACAACTCTTATAAAAATAGTAACAATATTAATGGTGACGAGACTTAGAACTGGGTATAGCATCATCTTCTGTGGAGCAATATGCTCTCCTTGCATGCTTATTTCACTCAAAGAGACACATGGTAGGATCAACAGTAAGATGTAGCAATAGAAAAACATAAGTCCTTCAGCCCAAATAGGGAGACCGGTCTTCTGTGGCTCCCATAAATTGGCTTGAATATCCAAAATATCAAGTAAATCAAGAGCAACCCAAAAGAGACGTCCTCTTAGATCTTCTTTTTTCCTGAATGTTCTCACATACTCCATGCTATCCAATGATACAAGTACCAGATATAGTCCTGGCACAGAAATGGATAAAAGCAACGTCAGTGCCTTTCTAGCCACAGTATCAATGTTTTTCTTGTCAGCCTTGTAGTTTTGAAATATAAAATACAGCTTAATTTCCAAAACAAATATGTATAGAAACCATAAAATCATTGCATATCCTCTCTTGGCTGTTTTGACCTCTGCTCCAACCCACACAGCCACGTAACGGAGAACAATTAAAAAGCAGATGTCACCAACCAACACAATGATGCATACTCCGATCTTCCTTGGACCCTGATTCTGCTCCACAAGATAGGCATCCATAAAGGCCATACTTGTCACGATTACAATGGTTGTAAGACACACGTGACGTTTGTCTGGAGGTGGAAGAACCATTTTTTTCCACTTTATTGCAGGTTTTCATGAAGTATATAGAACTATCATGTATTAGGACTGATTGTCAATTCTCTTATGGCTATAAATACTGGGTGATTTTGATGACAAATGTTCATTCATTGTAAAATGCTATCTTTTTCTCAACAATATTGTGTTTTATATATGTGCAATTTACACAGATTTCCTTGTTATTCCATATGCTGTTTTTCAGATGTGCAGACTGTATACTGGCAAATAGGAGGATATGAACTTAAAAGGATGATTTCATTTTTTTTAAAGCTGCAATTAAATTCTATTACGCAAGATGTTTCAGGTTTTAATTTTGTTTATGTTTTTCTTAAGTGGGGTAAAGGATTGAAGAATTCATTTAACATAACAAGCTGTAGATATTATTTCATGATTATACCCAACCCAGTGATATATTGCTTTACATTTTTAAAGTTGAAATGTAAAATCTGATTTGACTGGATACAAAAATTCACCATCAACAGGTCATTGTTTTCTAGGCCATGGTACTCCAGAAATCCATACAAGTCTGCTCTTCATTTATCCAGATTCTCCTTTTTGTATAGGTGGTTCTTTCTGAAAGGAAAACAATAAACATTATACATAAATTACATTTCATATATGTGTCTCTATATACTATATTTTTCAAACATATAACTATATATTTCATTGCAAACATAATATAGCAAATCATCACTAAGCAATTGTGGTTTGCACTTACTAAAACACAAGCAGAATTATAAGATTTTATACTTACTATGAAATAATTTTTTACCAGTAGTTCATTGGGGGACACAGGACTTATACTCCTATGAATGGGTTACAGCTGCCACCTTTAGGAGGTTGGACACTATGAAAAGCAATAGGGCACATTCTCATGTGGTGGCTATACTGCTACATAAAAATGGAAGGGAACCTTCCAGAAAAACTATTTACCATTGCAGCAGGCCGAGATTACAAAAAGATACCCACATGTGTGGAGGGAGCTATGTTCCCCAAGGGCTACTAGAAAAGAGAATTTTACTGTGAGAATGAAAAATAATAATGTAAAAAAACAATATGTTCTCCCATCATGCATTGGTGGACAAAGCCCTTTATTTCGCTACAAATGGGATACTCGAAAAAAAAGTCCCAAAAACCGGGGTGGGTAAGACACAGGACAACAAGTGCCATGGTGTCATGGTCTGGGAACCAGGGCACTGGTGCATGAGAGCTCCGGGTTTTGTGCAGCAGGTTTAGAGTCGCAAGCTGGAGTGAAGCCTGGGGTACAGGGCAGAGGACTCAGAAACTAGGGGTCTGTGCGTTATTTGGGACGCACTAGAGGCGCATAATCTAAGAAGGGCCAGGTCTTCCACAGCACCTCTAATGGTGAGGATGATTGGCCGCTGGACACCTTCCAGGTTGCGGCCCTCTAGTGCACCCGCACAGACTCAGGAACTGATGCAGCATTGGACCTCTGGACGCAAGGCAGAAAGGGGCAAGGCCTGTACACACACATAGCAGTACAGGATACAGAAGGACACAGGAGCAGGAGTCCAAACAACAGTGGGAAGGGAACACAAGAAGACAGCAGAGAGACAGCGCAACACGGCTATCTGGAGATAACAGAGGAGCGAGGCTGCAAGGACAAACAGCCACACAGGAGGAACACAAACTCACAGAAAGCAGGGACTCATAGGGTGCACAAGGGAATTACAGGAGACACAAGGAACAAAGCAGGTAAATGTCAATTTGCAGGGATCCAAGACAAATAGTACACAGGGGGTCCGCTAACGTCTTGTTGCTCGAACATCAGGCAACAAGTGAGCTGAACATTTAAGACTGAGGTTCAGCGTGGATTGGCAGGGAGCCTAGCACCTGGGACAGGAGGCAAAACCCAGCGCCAGATCATGGCACAGGGAAGTGTGACACACAGCAGCCCTCAAGAACAATTGTGACTGAAGCACTTAGTAGCATACAGGATCTTTCATCTGTCCCTAGTGTGAGACATTTTTACCAGGTCCGCACAATGAAACTGACAGAGAAACAGGTACAAACTCCTGGTGCTGGAAGGCTCAAGAAGCACTCACTGCCTTTGTAGAATGAGTGGTAACAGGAAATGGATGATCCTGTCCTTCAGAAAATAAGCTTGAGAAAAAAACTGGCTAAAATCGTCTACAGATGGTGGCACTGGAAGCCAGAGGCTCCATACAAGAATCAAATGGGATGACAAGGAGACCATTACTTGAAGGGAGAGTAGGCAAAAAGGAGGGCCAAGACCTCCAGATTTCCCTAAACTGGTAGCTGTAATAAGAAAGAGGGTCTTGCAAGGCAATATTGCTAATTTAAAGCCTCTCACAGCTAAAGTGTAGGCAAAAAGGAAGGCCACTTTATGAGAAAGAGACAAAGCGGTGTCTTCTGTATAGGTCGAAAAGGAATCTTTTGAAGCCCCAAAAATACCAAGTTAATATCCCACGGAGCCAAAGCATTTTTAACAGTGGGAGTGATGTAAGAATCAACATAAATAAAGGTCCCAACCAATAAATGACTGTTCTTCCTGTAGACGACCACTGGTGCAGGATCAAGGAGGAAGTCAGGCATAGAGCTGGAGTGTGGAGAGGGTGAGTAGGGATTGACAATATTCTGTTTTTTATGCAGGGAAGGATCTAAAAATAACAAAACAAATTCTTGGAGGTCTACTTTAAAACAGAAGGACTCACATCTTTGGAGGTAAGCTTCCAATATAAAGTAGAACTGTTGCCAGGTTATTGACATTCAACTATTTACATTTTCTTAAGCAGTACAAATGCTTCACCAACCTCTTTATTTGCAGGCACCACGGAGTAATTCATCCAGAACACTTCTGTGGGAAAATACTTTTAATTTCTATATTCTCACAGAAGATTGTTTTGTTGAGGATGAATTGCACCACAGTGTCTGCAGCTACAGAGGTAATGAGGGTTTGGCTTGGATGTGCGCATAGACAGCTCCCCAAGACAGCATTGGGTCTCTCAACACAGCAGCAATGCACCAGAACAACCACAGAAGGGGAAAACGTGCAAACCTACTGACTTCTCTGCCTCAGAGCAGACAGAACAGGCTGTTTTCCAAAGATGGGAGCAGTCTCTCCATCTACAACAGCTCTCCTCTCCCTTTACACTTTCAAGACATGGTGGACACTTTCAAGACGAGGAACCAGCTGCACAAACAAAAGACCTGGGATGACTTCCCCAACATACTCTTTTGGCTCTAAGGGCCCTTTAGGAAAAAAAGCCATTACTACATATCAGACAGGGACATCACACAACAAATAGAGAAACCTGGGGAAAATCACCACAGCCCTCAGCCTCACACTGAGAAAATGGATGAGCTTCAATGTCTGAAGAGCAAGATTGTGGACCTAGAAGTAAGATCCTACCGAAAAAAAAAAAAAAACTGGTGCACCCACTGGCATATCTTACTCATATGTTTAAAATCCCTGTTTCCATTGCAATCTACACAGGATTTTATTATAGATAGAGCACATAGGATTACAAACACTTGCTGGACAACATGCTCAGGGTTATCTAAAAGTTCACCTTTACCATATTAAAGAGTGGTTTATTGCAGAAGCAGCAAGAAAGATGTGCTCACATCCAGACCCATATACTTGTGACCTTCTTATGAAGCATTGTGTCCCTTTTTAGATGGGGATTCCACACAAAATTGCTTTTTACATAAAATGATTATAACTCTGCTTTTGAGACCCTTTAATAAACAGCATTAATTGGGGATTGTCTCCATTGCAAAATGCCTTAAAAACTCCAGACAAAACGTTAAGTTTTTTGAAAGAGTGAATGTGAGTCAGAATTTGTCAAATTTTTACTTCTGTCTGTGTCCACTTTAGCAATATTTTCTCCCACTCCCTGTCCCTGTGACATCCATTCAATAAAAAGTGCTGGGCGTCACTTGGATAGAAAGGCACAGACTACCATAAAAACATTGAAAAATTCTAACCTTTCCTCATGTAACATAAGCCAACAATATTAAAGTAAACATTTCAGGTGATAATGATAATTGGGAGAATGTGCAATTGCAATCCACAAAGCAGATGTCTCCTATTTGTTTTCTACAGTATCCTGGCTGCTTCAAATCCCAGCTGACTGAAAGATGAACATTCCTGATAGTGTTGAAAGCTATCACATCCCTTCTTCCAAATCAATATTTTATGTAAGATTTATCAGCCAATATAAGGGTGGAAAAGAGATAAGCCTAACCTATTTGCATAAAAGGATTCAGGACACCCAAAAAAACAGGTACTGTATGCTATTGTATCAATGCAGTCAGTTAAATAGTTATATCTAAAGACCTGAAGCCCAAACGTTTTATTTTGACTAGCGCAGAGAAGGTTAGAATGTCTGTCAGAATGTTTTTGTTTATTTTTTACAAGAATTATCATACATACAAAACACATTAAAGTGATATTAAAGTTTCCTTTTTAAAATAAAATATTTGCTACAAGAAGACCCACCTTTGTCTGAGGCTATTCCCATTCTTATTTAAAAGTTTTAATTCCTTGTTTTCAAGAGGGTCCCCACAGCGCTCTTCCCCCTGCCTCCTGCACAAGTGCCTCCATTGGGTTATGGAGGCACCCGTGCGCACTCGTACCCGCAATGGCTGTGTGTGTCCATAGACATACACAGCCCTGTGGCAGGCCACGGCCCTTCCTCTGCCCAACAGTTTCATGCCATAGGCTCCTTCTGCCATCTGTATCCTCCCCAGGAAGTTCGGAGAAAGGAGGATCACTTCGGGACTGCCAGCGGGGACGAGCGTTGCTGACGGAAGTGTGAGGGGGGACTGGGGGAGAAAAAGGTACTGGGCGGTTTTTACCCTCATGCAGAGCACACATTAAGGTAAAAAACGCCCAGACTTTAATACTATTTCAAAGTAATATAAATTATTTATAGTTACTAAATGACAAAACAATAGTCACATAACTAAAGTCAGAATAATTATTTTTCTACTTGACCTAATATGTAGCCATGCCATCTATATTTCTATTAGACTTGTGCGATTCGTTTCGTTCCGAATCGAAATTCGGACGAATATTCGGACATTCGGATGTATCCGAATTCCGAATTACAGACATAACGAATGCAAACGAATCCGAATTTCCATTTCCGAAATTCGGTAGCGTTAGTACGAACGTTCGGTTCGTTTTCTGTTCTTATTCGTTTCTTATTCGTTTCTTATTCGTTTCGTTCATTGGAGCAAAGTGACATTAGAGAAGGAGAAAAATATTTTTCCCCCCTCAAATGTCACTTTTGCTGCAAACGAACAAACGAAACGAATAAGAACAGAAAACGAAATGAACGTTCGTACTAACGCTACCGAATTTCGTCCGAATCCGAATTGACTTTCACACCCGAATCCTGAAAAACGAAATAACACAAATCCGAATTTAAAACGAAACGAAACTAAACGAATTTTTTGGCAGTGCACATGTCTAATTTCTATACTTGCCAGGTGCCAGGCCTTGCTACGGTTACACAAAGGTGTGTTCTACATTAAACTAAAATTAGCCCCTGCACTGATGTGAAATGCAATTTTAAATTGCCTTTGCATCAAATGAAGGGAAAGTGCACTTCTATTAAGCGTACATGTCATGGACAGGGATATAGAGGGTACAGAGATAAGGGAAACGACACAAGGTATCCCCATCCATCCTGCATCCTTGGAAAATGGGCAGAAGGCTGGCGCATGCTCGAGAAAATCCCAAATTCCCCGATCCATACACAGGTAACAACTGTAAACAACACATACACACTAATATCTCACTGCTGCCCTCAGATGTCAAGGAATCATGCCCACAGTGACTCACTAACCTGCAGTGAGGAGGAGTGAAAGAGCTTACTTTGGGCAAATATGACTGCTGTGAAACTATCACAGCCTACAATACCACTGGTCACCACTAGAAGGAGACTCACCAAATTTAACTGGCTGGACAAATAAAGGCAGGTGCAAATCTGGCATACAATGTGGAACACGCTAAGGATTGTTGAGCATCCAGGTGATTACCAGACACCTCTAGAATTCCTCCAGCTATCCTATGAGCTAGATTCCTTGTGTTATTACTTTGCCCACTGCCCACACACACCCACACCAAACATATTTCTTGCTACTACCTGCAGTTTGTCAGATGACTGGTCTGTGAGGCAATCCTACACACAAACACACAGGTCTGGCAGATATTATTTCTACACACTTACACTAATCTGCATGCAATCAGCTGCATTAGTTTGGGCAGTATGGTTTATCCTTATCCCTGGTGGTAGTACCAAAAATTCCAGCAATCTGCCTTGTTCATAACACGCTCCGTATATAATGGCTTTCTTATCTTTTAGAGGCATGGATGTGGGACAGACTTTAACCCCTTGAACAATCACTTTTGTTGGTATTATCTCACTTGCATTAACCACCTTCTCTTCTTGTCATCCTCATCCGAACCAGGCTGATTCATCACAACACAGCCATAAGCAGGGTTCACATAACCCTTTTGTTGGTTCTGTACAACGAGGACAAACAATTTTGCATTTAACCGATTAATCGAACTTAATAATCGGCTAACTAATCGATTTTGAAAATAATCGTTAGCTGCAGCTCTACTGCACATAGCTACATTCAGAAGGAATACGTTTTATATCCCTATGACTAATATGTTGGACTTTATTAGAGATAGAACATAATCCCTCTCATCTTTGGAAAATTACAATCGATTGCAGCCAGTTTAGCAGCCAGCAGCTGCAGAATTTCTAAAGAACCTTTGATGGTTGCAACCTTCCCACTTTCTGTGAGGAGACTGTTGCCACAAGCCTACATGACTGGTCAGAAACTTGTTGGGTGTTAATTTAAGTCTGCTGTCCTGAGCTATCCTCTCATATTGTAATTATGGACATCTGTCTAACTATTGGCCATTGAAATGATAAAATATCTGTGCTATTAACTCATCAATATCAACCTCTAGCTTCCTGAACATACCAGGGAACATATGTTTCTCTGCTTACCTCCCTCAGAAGCTCAGAGAGGCCGTACCTAATGAGACAGAGGCAGCTGGGCACATGATCTGCAGCCAGGTGAGAGGCCCTCCATTGTCAGAGTCGGCATACAGGCAGCCAGGTCAGAGCTAAAAGAATGCAGCTTCCCCAGAAGACCCAGCTACCGTGGAGAGCACTATACCCAGCTACCATGAAAAGCAATATTCCAGTTGCTTTCCAGCTGTTTGCCTGTGTTACCAGAGCTACCATGTACTTCACTGAGGAGGATGCTGTTTGTGTCTTGAACTATTTTATGATTATCAAGAAGGTTGGAGTTCAGCCAGTCCTGGAATTTAGGTCCTCCACCTGGAGTATCTGTGTTTACAGTAATTCTGAACATCAAAGGTTTTTCTGGCAAAAGTTCTTTTACTGCTGGAGAAGATCCAAAAGCTTCAGGACCATGTCAGAAAATTATCTCCGTAAATGCTAGTTCTATCATTCATGCATGCATGAGAGTATTGGGTCTAATGGTCGACACATTCACAGCAGTTCCTTTTGAGCAATATCATTCTCGGATTCTTCAGCAGAAAATTCTGTACATGTGGGACAGATCCTAACTGTCTCTGGACAGGGAAATTCGTCTCAGTTCTCCCACAGGAGTGCCCCACATGTGGAGACTGACATTCACCTTCTTTCAGTTACACAAGCCCTTTCCTCCACTTCGGTGGCAGATTGTAATGACAGATGCAGATCTTTAAGGCTCTCTGATGGTGCAGGACTGCTGGTCCAAGGAAGATCATCAACTTCCTATCAATGTCCTGGAAACTCAAAACTATCTGGCCATCTGTTCTTCACTGTGGGGACCTCTTATGGGATCATCCTGTAAGGATACAGTTGGACAACACCATAGCAGTGGCATATGTGAATCATCAGGGGTTAATGAAAAGTTCATCAGCAACCCTGGAAACTAACCACATTCCACACCGGGTGGACAGTTGTTCTACAGCCCTGTCTACGATCTACATTCCAGAAGTGGACAATTAACAGGTGGATTATCTCAACCATCAAAGTCTAGAGCCAGGTGAATGGTCCCTTCACCCAGGGATTTTTCAATAACTCTGTAGCAGATGGGGATTGCCCCGAGGCAGACCTATGAGCTTCAATACCAAGATAAACAAGTCTGTTTAGGACACAAGATCCACTTGCTGTAGCAACAGATGTCTTGGGAGCACTGTGGGACAGATTCAGTCTGGCCTATGCATATCCACCAGTATGTCTTTTACACAAATAACTTTGAGGGATCTAGTTGGAAGGGATTCCACTAACAATTGTGGTTCTGGCCCTGAAGAGTGTGATAGACAGGCTGTGTCTCTCAGCTAAATCAGAGAAAATCATTATTTGGTGAGTTAACAGAATTCTATCATTGCCTGCTCTGTAACTACTGAGAGCATACTAGCTGCCCTGCTTGAAATAAAAAATGAAAGTTTACCCACCCAGAGGTGTCCATTGTTGCAGAGAGAAGTGATGTGTATCTGCCAAAGCTGCTTTGTTAACCCTGTGTGTGTCTTGTAAGACATCTCTGTTAACCATGCATATTTCATCTTTTTAAGATTGCTCTGTTAGCTCATTCCTCCTTTTCCCCACCTTAGTGGTCTCATTGGCTGAGCTTTTTGTACTGTATGTCTGTTGGAAGCGTTCTTCTTGCAAAGTTTTTTTATTCCAGAAATTTTCAATGAACAATAAAAAAAAAAAGAAACAAACAAAGAAGAACAAGTAAATATAAGATGGGGCATTCTCCCCACAAGCATTGATCTTGAAAAGGCATCTAATAATGACACATGTGTTGGAAGCTTTTTTGTTGATGTTAAAGTGGCAAAGTCACTGTAAAGTAAAATCTCACATTTTCTGATATGCGCTGGTTATGGTTGTCTCTTTGAAGCAGCGTTTTTATTCTCCTGGCCAATAAAATACACACCGGGCAATGGCTATAGCTCTCTCTATCAAGATATAGAAATGAACATAAATAGATTGGTCTGTCTATGTGAATGGGCATATAGGGGTTAAAATTACAACTCTGCTTATTTTTTTAACACTTAAAATACCAGTTGGAAATTAAGTCCAAAAATTAGCTTATGCTACATTATAATGGTATTACGTTTCAAGACTTGCACAAAACGTACAACAGGAAAATCTGTATATAAGGAGAAATGATCTCCGTTCTTTAAACATGACTACCTATCTGTGTACAACACTGCAATGCATTGATGGCTAAAAATACAAATTGATGTCTACTTACAGAGGCTGGGCTCAGCAGTCCTCAGTGCTGTCACTGCTGGTTGCTAAGGAAAGTAGTTGCTAAGCAAAGTGTTAAGGCACAGCTTATTCAGCTTGAAGAGAGGGTTCTGTGTTCAGTCAGAACAGGAAAGCCATGTTAAAATATAATTAAACTGATTACATCTCTCACTGCTGCATAGGAGAGTCTATTTTCAAATTCAGTGTTTTGTTTCATTTTTTTTTATTGCATTTCATTTTGAGTTATGCCTAAATCCAGACTCTTGTACATTGTAGTAAACCTGAACACACCTGATCTAGAATTTGTTTGCTTCCTTCCAGGGCTAGCTAATGCAAAAGTGAGTCACAGTACACACAATTTAATATTAATTATTTGTTAACAATTTAAACAGTATTCCTAGTTTTCTAAAGAGTCATCTCACCTTTGTTGCAACGTGATTTAGCTTTTTTTGTCTCATAAAATGTATTCATATTCTGTATTTCTATGTTTAATGATTTATTACAGACAACCATAGTTGTGTTTTCCCAAAAAGTGGAGGTATAGGTATAGAAAATTGTAGCATGCGTTAAGGTGGCCATACACCTATCGATTTACGCTCGGAAATCGTCCACGAATGGTCTTTCGAACGATAATCGATCAGTTGATGGGACACCTACGATTTTAATTACTG